TTTTAATTTAATGCTTAGTTCACTGATGGTAGGTTGCCAGTCACCTTCCAATACGCATTCTCCCTTTCTTCCTTATGAGCAGAATGCCTGACCTATGTCGTGACAACAGTACGTCCAGCGAAAGGATTTCCCAGCTTTCCTCAGCAGGATGTGACTAAGGGATTAAGTTCTGGCCAATAGGAGGCAAATGGAAAAGTTATGAAAGATCATCTTAAAAGGAAGATGTGCCCTCTTGTACCCATCCTTGTACTGCCTGCTCAAAATGAAAGCTGAAATGCCAACATAATGACTGGAGCTGTAGCAAGCCTTTTGGACTAGGAAGTAAACTTCAGAATGAAAGTCCTATGTTGAATGTCAGGAGAAAGATAGGAACCTAGGTCTCTGATGACTCTGTGACCCCAATAAGCAGGAAAAAACTCACTGCCTTCTGTGTTTCTCCTCTACTCTTGCACTACTGTCACATTCACAACACTTCTGGATCCAGATACGTGGGAGCTTTTCCCACACCAAGCAATTATGTGACAACCAACGGATACCCTAGCATTTAGCTGAGTCCGTAAGACTGTCCCCACCCCACTTTAGATGCCAATCGCAAGTCCAAGTAGTCACCCGTGCAGAAGCTGATCAGCTATAAATCAGAGGGTCCCACAATCCTCACTTGGGTTCAATTAATTTGCTACAGTGGCTCACAGAAGTCAGGGAAACAGTTTACTTACTGTCTACCAGTTTATTGTAAAAGAATATGATAAAGGATACAGATTAACATCCAGATGGACAAGATGTGTAGGGCAAGATATGTGGGAAGGACTGAGAAGCTTCCGTGCCAGTCCAAGCTGCCACTCTCCCAGCACCTCCATTATGTTCAGCAACCCCAAAGCTCCCTGAATCCCATACGTTTGAGAGTTTTATGGAGGCTTCACCACGTAGGCATGATTGATCATTAACTTAATTTCCAGCTACTCTCCCCTCTCTAGAGAAGTGGGGAAGGGGAGGAGGGGACTGAAAATATCAAGCTTCTAATTTTGGCATGATCCTTCTGGTGACCAGTCTCCATCCGAGAGCCATTCAGGAGCCCATCTAGAGCTATCTTATTGAAACGAAAGATGTTCCTAGTGCTTTTACCACTTAGGAATTTGCAAGGGTCTTAGCTGCTCTGTGTCAGGAACCAGGTTTGTAATATACATATTATCTCACAAGGAGTAGGATGAGAGACTAAGCTGTCCATAACATGAAGGTCACAAAGAAATTTTAATAGCATGGGAAAATGCTTATGACCCAACATTAATAAAAATTAAAAGCATATAAAATTGAATCATATCTAAAAAAGCACTCCCCCATATCGCCCCCCCAAAAAAAGATTAAATAGAAGTACTTCAAAATGTCTCAAGGTCCTTGAGTTATAGGTAATTTCTTTCCTTGCTCCTTTATATTTCTACTTCCTCAAAGTTTGTACAATCAACATGTAATACTTTTATAATCAGAGATAAGAAGATCTAATAGTAAATGTTTGTTTTTTAATCTGAAAGTTGTGGGTTACATGGACACATTGGTCTATTCAAACATTAGATACAGAGCTATCTTATTAATGTACAATAAGCCCTTCTTAGCAATGGCACATTATTCCAATAATGTCAGATCAGAGCATGCTCACATCTGTAGAAAGAGGGCTAATGTTCAGTTTTTATAACCAAGAATGTGTAATGCAAGGAATTATTTTTGTCTTTTTTATTTTCAAAAATGAAGTTTCAAGAATATCAGTGTTATTGCTTAAACATGGCAAAGGATTAATTACTTCAATTTCCTACTAGATCTTCAATTTAGCCTAATAATGTGCTGACAAAAACACATCTAGTCACACTGTGGATAAAAGTCTACTGCCAAAGGTAGGCAGTGTTGTCTTGTACAAGATGGATTTCTCTTTTTCAAAAACAGAACTGTATGACAAATAGCTATTGCGGACGGATATTGAAGCTAACACATATTTTTTGCTGTTATCTAGAAGGAATTGCTTTTTATCCCTACATACTCCAGTACCAATATATTCCTTGTCTCATATTTGAAAAGAAACTTTCAACAAAGGATAAATACCTGGAAAAACACATCATATTTTCCAAAAGTAAAAAACAAAATATGCTGCCTTCCTCTACTTCAGGCTGCACTAGCTCACAAGTAACCTGAAACTCTTGAGACAAATTAAAATTCTTTGTTTGTAAAGTTCAAGACATTCTCTCCTCGAATGCCTTTCCTTGCTCAAATGTACTAAAAGACTAAACAAGTAACATAACAGTATGGATGTTCTACTTGAAATATCTGAAACAGTACTTTTATTTAAAAGTTTTTATTTAAATACTCAAACAATGTCAGATTATATTAGTAATATGTTTGATCATAGCTAATATAGTTAAGCAAACACATTTTATTTGTGAGTGTTAAAGAACACTCAAAAATACCAATAATATCAAATATTCAAATACTCAAAAGGAAATAACATAGCTTGAGTTAATTTCAAGAGCATTTTTTATTTAAACAGCAACTTGCTGCCACAAATCTTTTTTAAATGACAACATAAACAATACCAGAATGAAAAACATATCTCTCCCTCTCTTTCTCCCCCCTTCCCCTCTCTCTAATAATAAATAAATAAGTAAAGAAAATCTTTAAAAAAACAAAACAAAACAAAACCTGATTGGTGTGGCTCAGTGAGTTGGGCACTGTCCCACAAACTGAAAAATTGCCAGTTCCAGTCAGGGCACATGTCTGGACTGAGGGCCAGGTCCCCAGCTGGGGGCGTGCAAGAGGCAACCGATGGATGTTTCTCTCACACATCGATGTTTCTCTCCCTTGCCCTCCTCCCTTTCTTCCCCTCGAAAAATAAATAAAATCTTAAAACATATATAAAGAATGAAAAACTTAAACTTTTTTTTTCAAAAAAAGCATTTGCCCTAATCTGCAGGCAGATAGGTTTTTAAAAAAGTTTATTGATTTTAAAGAGATAGGATGGAAAAGAGAAACATCAAGAGGGGGGAGGGGCAGGGGAAAGTGGTGGTAGGAAGGCAGAGACAAAAGTAATTGGAAAAATAAATTAATTAAAAAAAAGAAAAGAAAGAAAAGAGAAACATCGATGTTAAGAAAGTAACATCAACTGGTTGCCTCCCATATGAGTCCCAACTGGGGACTGAACCCACAACCTAGGTATGTGCCCACACCAAGAATCAAATGCGCAATCTGTTGGTGTATGGGACAAAGCTCCAATTAACTGAGCCACACCAGCCATGGCTGCAGGCAGATAGTTTAAATAGCCCAAGTTACATGGACACAATAATGATATTATATGTAATAAGCTCACAGGTTAGGAAATACTGCAGAACTTCAAATTACTGCATTACTTTCAGTGAGTAAACCCAGAGTACTTACAATTGAAATGGACATGAAAAGCCTTGTAACCTCAAGAACTCACTTTGTGGAAAATTTGGCCAAAAGAGAAAAAGCAAGCTATTAAGCCACACTGCTAATGCCCACTTCTCACCTTGCACACTGACTCAGAAATACAGTCAGATAACAGTTTTAGATGTGTCTGACATTTCCTGCTCCTGCTGTTTATTCCCATCTAAATCCATTCTGATTTTTATACCGTGTTATCTCCTACTTACTGTCTCGGCAACAAGTGAAGAGAATATGGCTGAAGGTGAAGTCCAGAGACCAGGAAATTTTAGAAACCCGACAAGCACTGAACCTACCAGCTTTATAAATAATCTAAGACAGATCAGAAACCAAAGTAATGCCTATTTTGCATTCTTACATAATGTTGATGTTAATTGCCGAAAAGGGCACTGATTTAAGTTCTCCAGTATAAAATTTTTTAAAATTTAATCAGCTCTGGTGAGTTTCCACAAATTCATTCACTTAAAAAAGACATTTATCAAATACCATAAAATGTGCTGTGCTAGACATTACGTAGAACTCAGACATGAGTAAGGAATCCAAGCTGGGGAAAGAAGTTAGGATAAAACAGAAGAAATAAAGTGTTTTTATAGATATAAAACTTAGGAAGGGAGAAAGGGGCAGCTAATTGCAACTGGAAAAGGCTTTTCAAGGCAGAGGCAGTAATGAAGCTGAGCCTAGAAGGTTGCATAGAATTTCCACAAGTCGAAGACATGGAAAGAAAGGACATTCTAGACTCTGAAGCAGCAGTAAAAGACTCAGAAAAAGCGCTGGGCACATTTGCAGAAATGGCAGCACAGGCAGGGAAGCCCAGCATTCCTGGGGAATATTATGAACAGTGGCCTCTGGAAATGTACATTAGGGCCAGGGGTTAGAAATGCCAAACTTAATTCCTGGGCAAAGGAGAGAAAGGTAGGTTTGCTGGGTCAGTGATTCCCATAACTAGTCACTAAACATCAAGTCAACTAGATTGTTTAAAATTCAGATTTTCAAATTCTAGTAGAAATAGGAAATTACAATATTTTAAGCTCCTATACAGATTCTCATTTTCAGTCAGATTTGGGTACAGTGTGAAGAACTGAAGGGCAGAACCAAAGAGAACAAAAAAGGGGGAACGGCTACAAGAGAAGATGAGAGGTAGAACAGAAAATAACAGCTACTGAGGTGTGAGGTTAATGGAAAAGAAGAACCAGAAAGTTACTTTAGGTCTAAAAGACTGGGAAAGTAAGTTTACCATAAGAGGACACATAAGAAAGGCCAAATGTCTGCAAGAAAAAACATCAGATTTGGACTTTCTGAGGTTGAGTTCCTTATCAGATAGGAAGTTCGGTTCTAGAAATTCACAAAAATTAACTTCATATTTAAACATATACTATATGTGGACACCATATGTACATACACATATATATGGCAGAGAGCTGCAAACTTAAAAAGAACTCAATAAATATTTATTAAACAATAAAAATTAAATATTTTATTCAGTCTTACTTTTTTTAAACAAAAGTAGGGAGAACCCTCTACTTCATTTTATTTCCTTTTAAAGATCTCATAATTCTTACCTTTGCTGCCAAGGCTTTTAAACTGTCAAGAAATCTTTGCCAGAAGTCCTTGAAGAGTGGGCGGTCAATTTTCTTCAGGCTATCCTTGGTGCTAGCATCCACACTGACATATAGCTGGGTCACCGGTTTGAGATTCCTTGGTAAATTTAAAATTAAAAACAACCACAACAGTAAAAAAATATATTATGCCTATTTCAGACTTTTCATGATGTAAAACTTAACAATCTATAATAGATGTGGTAATTAAACATTTCACTAGGTCTAGAGGCTTCTACTTCTCCTGGAAGACTGAAACAATGATTTTAATAATGTGACAATGGGTTGTCAGTTGATTATTTTTAAAAATGACTGGGCACCATTCCTAATAATTACTTAAAATTGGCCCCTCTTCAAACACTAGGTTTTAATGGAAAATAAACAAAACAAGATCTAGCTTTAGGTCTGGCACCACCAGTCCAGCAGAATTAGGGGGAGGGATCTTGGATCTAAGTTTCCCCATAAACGCTGCCACTCAAGACTTACATAGCTGATCTCTCACAGCCATGTGAGTTCTCTGCTGATGGGTCACCACCCATCATCAATTCACTGATGGACATTTTCTAAGGCAACAATAAACAACCCAAAAAGCATAGGCCTTCTTTGAAGGGCATGGAGCCACACCGATGCCTCCCCTATGCCTCTGAGAGCAGCTAGGGGTTCAAAGCCAAGCCTGAGTAGGCAAACAATGCCCTATTCAACAAGCTTTAGGCAATGCAGAGCCAGGACAACAGCAACCCAGCACTTACAAAGGACAACCCAGAAGAAAAAGGTACGTGGTAGAGTTTTATTTTTCTTTGCCTTCTTAATCAGCTTCCATGAATACCACTCATTTTCCACTTCTCTCAAATTCACTGACTCAAATTTCATAGTCATTTTTATCTACTAGATTTCTTGCCAGTTTTAAGCCCAGGTTGTACTTTTTCCAAAACCTCTCTGTTCTCCCTTCAAATGGGCCTCATAATTCATTCTTTTCAATAAATTGAGACATAGAAAGAAGAAAATTCCCCTTTAATAATCTTCTAATTAAATCTTCCCACTATTAATTTTCTATAACTATTTCATTATTTTTATTTACCCCTAGAATGTTATTTATGAAATTTTGTTTCAAAGTCTATGCATTTTTAAAAACTGAGCATTACTGAATTTTTAAAAATTCACATGCCATAAAATTCACCATCAAAATGGTTAATGTGCTTTTTATATCTATCAGTATCAGCTTTATCAAGCTTTGAGTGTAAGATCTTAAAGAACAGGAACCATATTTCTTCTTCTTATCCAGTGATACAGGCAGAGACTGAAAGCTACTTTTTAGTTGATAATGTTGCCTTCAGCTGGCAGAACTTTTAAGGGCACATAGGCCAAACAAATTATTGTAATGATCTGGCTTAGTGACATATGGAAAAATCATAAGGGTCTAAACCCAAAGTTATTAAAAGTGGAGAAGCTCTGACAAAAGTTAAGAAAAACATGATGAAATATTGGCAGACTCTCATTGCTTTAATCCCTCTCCAATACTGAGATACAAAAGGAATCTTTAAAAGTTCAGTAAGGTGTCACTACTGAGCAAAGGGCATCAATTACTAAAAATGCAAAACAATAGCATACTGTAATGGCAGCATTCTGTCTCATCACTATTGTGCTCAGAGCCTCTTTAACAGCAAATAAGATATGATACCTTACCAGGACTTTATGCTTCACAAAACAATAAAAATAAAAAAGACTGTCTCAATGGATACTACTGGCTATCATCATCTGATACTTACAGGACTTTGTCATTAAGCTGCTGGATGGAAAACAGGAACTGTCCTGACCTTTTCACTATGTCTCCATAACTACTTAAGATTATGAACAGTAAATTTCAAAGGCCACGGTTATTTTACAAACCTCCATCATCTGCAAAAAAGGAAATGCTGGACACTGACAGTACCAATAAGAAATATTTGTCAATACTAAATGACTGAGATGTTATAATCAAGGAGTCTACTGATCTTTTGCAGGGAGCAGAGAAAGAATGGAGAAGGGGAAGCGTCCCTGGAAATTACAGGGCTCATTCAACAGCAGTAAAAGAATGCCGGAGAAATTTTCTGAGCTCAGGGATCTACTGTCTTCCTGATGCAGGCCTCTATGCCCCAGGGCAGGCAATTAGCTCCCAGCGTGTACAGAGATAGCATCAGTTTAGTTACTCCAGAACAAGAAAATGTTTTATCCTTAAAATCATCACAATAATTTCTGTGCCTGAGAATCTCACATTGCTGCTGAGAACAAATGAAAAGGAATAAACAATCTAAGCCAAACACCCAATGAAAATGCCCAAAGAATTCTGATATGATTATTGTGATGCCCCTTCATCCTGCTAGTTTTAAATCTGAGTTGAAAATGATCGTCTATAGAAATGCATTGTGCCCTAACTGGTGTGGCTCAGTGGACTGAGTACTGGCCTGCGAATCAAAGGGTTGCCAGTTGTCAGGGCCCCAGTAGGGGGCGCATGAAATGAAACCACACACTGATGTTTCTCTCCCTCTTTCTTCCTCTTCTTCCCCTCTCTAAAAATAAATAAAATCTTTAAAGAAAAAAAAAAGAAAGAAACGAAATGCATTGTAATTGCACAAAAAAATACCTCTCCCCTTTTTTCCTTTCTGTAAGGATGTAGGCCTACTAATCTCTACAGAAAGGGAAAAAGGGAGAGGGATTTGTTTGTAAGTAATCAAGAGGATTAAATAGTAAGTTTGATAATCCTATTGGGCAAAATAAATAAATAAATAGATAGATAACTGCAGTGGCCCAAACTTCCAGTACTATTAGAATCAGAAACTCTAAGACAATATGGGGCTGTCACACCAGGCTAAATAATTTAGGAGGAAAAGAGAAGGAGAATGAAGGAGGAGGAGAAAAGTATTTACCATTTACTGAATACGCATCATGTACCAAGCGTATGGTGCTGTGTTTGACCTTTCTTGTTCAGTTCACTGAATCCTCATAATAAAAATAAAACAATAAAAACTTACGCCCATTTTAGAGATGATAAAACTGAGCTTCAAAGAAGTTAAGGAACTTGTTCAAGGATCCAAAAAAAATGCATGGATAATCTTATATTTAATAATCTCAACGAGATTGAAGCCAGGAAATGACTCCAGAGCCTGTTCTCCTAGCCCGGTGACACAATGCCTCCATCAAAGTGGCCAGTTCACAGGCAGTGCAACCTGAGCCTCTTGTCACAGAAACCCAAGAACAGTATTTCAAGCCTTACAGCAGTATTCCTCTAAGTGTGCTCAGGGCCATCTGCATCAAAAGCAAATGGAAATGGAAGTTCTTAGACCTCTCTCAAGACTGAATCAGCCTCCAGGGATGGGGCCTTGGAAAGTATATCATTCTGTTTGTTTCAAGAACTTCTCAACATTGATGAAAGATTGAAGACACAAATAGATGGAAAGATATTACATGTTCATAGATCAGAAAAATTAATATATTAAAATGTCTATAATACCCCAAGTCATCCATAGATGCAATGCAATCCCTATCAAGCTTCCAATGGCACTTTTTACAGAAATATAACAATCTTAAAATTCTTATGGAACTATAAAAGATGCTGAATAGCCAAAGCAATCCTGAGAAACAGCAAAACTGGAGGTATTATATTTGATGATTTCAAACTATACTACAAAACTATGGTATTCAAAATATTCAATAGTAAGGTATTGTCATAAATATATATATATATATGCATGCCAATGGAACAGAATCAACAGTCCAAAAAAATAAACCCATCCATGTATGGTCAACTCATATTTGACAAGGGAGCCAAGAATTCTCAATGTGCAAAGGATAGTCTCTTCCATAATGATGCTGGGATAACTAAATATTCACATGAAAAAAAATGAAATTGGACCCCTGTATCACATTATTCACCGAAATTAATTCAAAATGAATTAAAAACTTTGTAAGACCTGAAACTGTAAAAGCCCTAGAAGAAAACACAGGGAAAAGCTCTTTGATATTTTGGTCTTGCCAACAATTTTGGATATGACACTAAAAGTGCAAGCAACAAAAGCAAAAATAAACAAGTGGGACTACATCGGACTAAAAAACTTCTGTCCAGCAAAATAAATGATCAATAAAATGAAAAGGAAATCTACAGAATTGAAAAAAAAAATACCTGCAAATCAATATCCAAAATCTACAAGATCATCAAAAAATTAAAAATAGAACTACCATATGATCCAGCAATCCCACTTTTGGGTATATATCTGAAGGGAATGAAATCAGTATCTTCAAGAGATACATGCACCCCAATATTTAATGCAGCATTATTCACAACAGCCAAGACATGGAAACAACCTAAGTGTCTGCCCACAGATTCAAGCAGCCTATCTTCATAAACTGGACCACTCACCTGATTTCCACAGGGAATTGGGCATTTGTGACCAGGAAACTGGAGATTTTACACTCATGGAGTAGCTCCAAAAACCTGTTAATTTCTGGATACATGATGGGTTCTCCCACAAGGGATAATGCACAGTGCTTTACCATCATTCCTTCTTTAAATCGCTCTTCTTTGACACCTGGTACTCCTAGAGAACACAGTGAAAACAATCAAGCTCAATAAGGCATGGATAGAGGATAACTCCTTTTATTTTTCTTAATTAAAAATTTTATATTCTTCTTAACAGTTCTTTGATTTTAGAGGGCAAATTTATATTTGATACTAGCCAAATAATAGAAAATGAGGGCCAGAGGGGGAAAAAAATGTAGAATTACTCAAACAAAAACCAATCAGCATTCTTGGTTTTAGTACTAATTAAACCACATCAATACAAGCAGGCAAAACTAACTTTATTCACTAATTATTTGCAACACAATTTGCTTAAGTCTGCATTCTTTCATGTTGGTCTAAGTAAATGAACTCAATATATGAGGGTGGATCCAAAAATACCCCCAGAATTTATTTTTTTAAATGTATTTATTCTTACATGATTAAATTTCAGTCACATCCAAGTCACTCTCCTTTTGATGCAATACTCCTATCAAGACATTTTTTCCATTGCTCAAATTTGTTTTTGAACTTGTCAAGTTTGATACCTTTTAGTGCTTCTGCCATTTTTTGTTTCACCTCTTCCACATCAGCAAAATGTTTCCCTTTGAGGACTTTTTTCATCACAAGAAACAACAAAAAAAAATTGCTTTGGGAAATATTGGGTGAATAGGGAGGGTGGTGCACAGGGGTCATGCCGATTTGGGGAAAAGAAAAGACCGCTGAACATTCAGCACAGCGTGGGGCAGATGCACTCGTAAATCATCCATCATGAAACAGGCAAAGGCATTGAAAGAGTCTTCAAAAAAAATTCACTGAAGCCAATTGCAGCCTCTGACTGGTACAGATGGGTTCCTAGAACACTCACCTAGTGGGGGAAGCTTGTCCTACAAAGGGTCTGCCCTCCAGAAGATAATTCCCCTTTGTCGGGGGATACCCTCTCATATCTACATAAGGAGAAGCCTCGGCTAGACCATTCACTCCCCCCTTCATTTGTCAAGTAGTGTTTTGAATTGAGAAACTACACATAATTGACCCAAAAGTAAAGAGGAGAGAAAAAGAAGAAACCTGCAGTTCTCACGTTTGGCTTCACAGTGGAATTACCTTGAGCGTGTCAAAAACTCCTGCCGCCAAGGCACACCGCCCAAGATTCTGTTAATTGGAGTGGGTGCCAGCTGGGGCAATGAGAGCTTTAAATTTTCCTCAGGTGATTCTAAAATGCAGCCAAGGTTGAAAACCACTGCATAAACTTTCAGGTCCACAGACCCGTCTGCACATTGGAATCACTTGGGAATGTTACACCTTGCAGACTCCAGCCTGTAGAGCAGGATTAAATCACAATTTCTGGGGAGGAGCACAGGCATCAGTTTTTTAAGCCCTCCAGGAGATTCCGACAAGCAAAAACATGTGGGAACCACTGGTTTTCAACTCTACTCAGTCACTGAAATTACAAGAGAACTTTAAAAAATCCTACTGTCCAGGAGGAACTCAGGCATTTGTATTGTTTTTCTTTCTCTCTTTAAAATTTAATCTCTATTGTATTTTTTCTATTACCATTTAGTCCCCTTATACACCCTCCCCCCAGCAATCCCCACACTGTTGGCCATGTGCAGGAGTCCTTTTCCTTTTTGCTCAGTCCCTCCACGCCCTAATCGCTCCGCAGCTGCCATCCTGCTCTCCATCTATGAGCCTATCCCCATTTCCCTTGTTCGTTTCCAAGTGATTCCAATGTACAGTGTGGATGGAAAAGTACTGCTCTGGATTTAATGTAGAAGGCATTCATGAAAATCCCTCGATCTAACACGGAATGTGAAAAATTTGGAAAGAGTGTAAAATAAGATGTATCAATAGCTCCTTTATTTCAGCTACATCTATCAACTATCTGTAGGTTCCTTTTGAAGACTGCATCTTCTCTAGAGAACACAGATTCCTCATGGAGGTAGGGTAGGCAGGCATGTTCATACCCCCTCTCAGGCACTTACTAGCCATCCATCTTTTTTTGTTTGTTTGTTTTTAACTATAAACAGTACCTACCTCAGTAATTTTTTTTTTTAGGACTAAATGAAATAATGCACGTAAAGGCTTAAGCAGAGTGCCTGGCACACAATAAACAGTTACTTAGGATTTGTTATTATCATCACCTTTATCCTGGCTTCTTAAAGTAATTAAACACTAGTCACCACTATCACCTTAACAACAAACCTGGAGAAAATAAATGAGTTTTCACCTCTCATTTGTGCCTTAGTTTCCAGGAAGTAATTTTATTTTATACACATACACATGCCCTACATGGAAACTTGCAAGTGCAAGTAAATACCCAAGAGGGTAAACCAACAGAATACAGGCTAGAACAGTACAAAAGTGGCAGGTGATCTCTTCTTTTGTGACTCTCAAACTGCAGTTCTAGGAATGTATTTCAATTCAGTATTTTTGAATGCGTAATTTAAAGTTATTGAAATCTAAGATCTTAACTCAAATGAATAAGGATTCTAAATAAAATTTGATCCTTACCTCACCATGTTTGCCAAGACAACTAAGAATTAAGCATAAAATTTCTTTTCTGTTAAAAAAAAAATACCATTAACTTCAACCCCCCCATGAGCAGATGAGTAGAAGGACAGACTTAACCTGAAATGCAAAATTAACCAAAAGCTCAGAAAGCAGAATAACTAGCTAGGCTCTAATCACTGGTAGGCAGATTACCAGGTCCAAAATCTGGCTCTTTTGTGTCCTTGGTCAGGCCACTCACTCTTCTCCACACCCTTTCCCTGATCTATAAGAAGAGGGTTACACACACAAATATAACTAATATAAGAATTCAATGATATAAGCCACATGAAAAACATGAAATCCCTAGTGTGGGGCTAGACCCAAACCATACTCATTGAAAAAGTGTTGGCTGCAAATATTCTTATACTACTACTATTACTACTACTAGTAACAAATTTTGTGAATTGAACAGAGAAATTCAATTGTTTTAAATAAAATGGTAATTCCATCCAATTTACCACATATTTCTTGATCATCTACTATGTGCCAAGCACTGTTCTGGGCAAGTTTTCTATCAGTAAATAAAAATGGAAAAAAAAATAACCCTCTGCCTTTGTGAGGTTTATATTATTGCATGTGAGAGACAAAGAATAAACATTAAACATAATGAATCAGCAAATTCTATAGCAGAGAGATTCAATAATTTTTTTTTTATTGATCTGACCAGCATGACTCAGTTGAGCATCATTCCACAAAGCAGAAAAAAGGTCACCAGTTCGATTCCCAGTCAGGGCACACGCCTGGGTGGTGGGCCCAGTCCCCAGCTGAGGCACGTGCAAAAGGAAACCGATCAATATTTTTCTCTCATATCAATGTTTCTCTCCCTCTCTTTATCCCTCCCTTCCCCTCTCTCTAAAAGCAAAAAAATAAAATCTTTAAAAAAATTAAGATATAATTGACATATAACATTATATGAGTTACAGGTGTACAACATAATGATTTGATATTTGTATTATTGTGAAATGATCAGCACAGTAGGTCTGAATTAACACTCATCACCGCACATTGTTACAATTTCATTTCTTGTGATAAGAACTTTTAAGACCTCATTCCTTGCTTTTTTTTTGCAGGCAGCCATGAAGATGATAGATATTCAGACTGCATGTGTGTACCAAAAGCAGCCCCCCATCTTTCAAAATAAGAAGGGGGTCCTGCTTGGAGAAACTGGCAGAGAAGCTACTGCAATACTACAAGAACATCAGTCTGGGTTCCCAGGTGCCCAGCGAGGCCACTTAGGGCACCTACATTGACAAGAAACATCCCTTTACTGTTTACATCTTCATCTGAGGGTGCATCTGTCTGGTGTGGTGACAAGATGAAGATGCAGAGGACCACTGTCATCTGCTGACCTACCTCCAGTACATCCCAACTGCTTTGAGAAGCACCACAAGAATATGTCAGTGCACCTGTCCTTCTCCTTCAGAGGCGTCCAGATCAGTGACACTGTCACAGTGGGTCAGTCCTGGCCCCTGAGCAAGACTGTGAACTTCAATGTGCTCATGGTCACCATGGCTGGTGGCACCAAGAAGCAGTTCCAGAAGTTCTCAGACAAGATACCTGCCCACTCCCCCAAAGAAAATAATCTTATCCATCACAGTCCAGGCTCCTGGGGTCTGACCTTACCAGAGGGAGGTATTGTCCCTGGCAATGAGCAGGATTAATGAGAAAGATGGGGTTCCTTTTTACTCTTTGGGGCATAAGAACAGGAATGGGGGCCAAATACTACCTCTGCCCTCTCATCTCTGGGTGAAGCCAACCTGTTTTGCCTAAAGATGCTGCCCCTCTTAAAAAAAAGTATCCTATTTTAACGACTTTCAAATATACAATACAGTATTAACTATAGTTGCCATGCCGTACATTATATCCCCATGACTTATTTATTTTATAAATGGGACTTTGTACTTTTTGACCCTGTTCATCCATTTTACCTACGATTCATAATACAGTAGCCATCAGCTACTCTTAGCACTTGAAATGTGACTGGTATGGCTGAAAAACTGATTTTTTGTTTTTTTAATTTTTATAATAAAATTTAGAGGGCCTGGGGGTAACAGGTAATGGGGTTGGTGATAAATATTATGTGTTCAATTTTAGACATGTGAAGTTTGATATATCTGTTAGATATCTGGATGTGTCCAACATTCAAGTTTGGATTCAGGAAGAAATGACTGGGTGGCTATAAACATTTTGGCAAATGAATAAATAGTATTTCCATTCCTGGGCCAAACAAGTTTATCAAGGCAATAAGAGTAGCATCCTAGGATACTCTCATATCTAGGGAAAAGAAGAGGGGCCAGCAAAAAACATTGCCAAAGAGCAGCCAGGGAAGAATGAGGAAAATTTAAAAGCAAATAAATAAAATTCTATATTTTCTGAAACTACAACTAAAAATATCAAACCTGTCCATTTAGACAACTTAAAAACAAACAACAAAGCAAGACCAAAATAAAAAGCCCTGTGGGGAGTGATGGCAGCAGCACGGTGGCATGA